CCCAAGGTTTGAGCTGACTCCCAGCTTGCATATCATTACTAAGAAAGTTTGAACTCGTCGATGCGTTTAATCAGCAGTGCCATGCCCAACTACGCTTTAACTGGCTATTAATACCCAGCTGTATGACACCGCCGCTAAAGTAACGTCGTGGACATTGCCATTCTATTGATCGAAGGGGAGGAGTATGCATAGACGATCATCGTACGAGAATGGTACCAGGATCAACCTAGACGAGTCCGTAGCTTGAGCACTGGAATGCCCAGTGGGAATGTAGACTGTGTAGCGTAAGGTCAACAGCCCCGCTCTGCCTATTATCTTTGCTTGTCTTTCCTATCTATTCTATTAGTTCAATTTGCTATGAGATCTGAATGATCCTCTCGATGATGACGGAACCCATTCCACAGTCTCCTAGTCGTTTCATCATTGGTAACGCAGCCGATATTGATCCGACCTTTGTGACCAGTTCTTTCTGGAAGTTTGCAGAGATCTATGGTGACATCTTCCAACTGGACCTTCCAGGCCGCAAGGTTGTCGTCTGTTCTTCGCATGACTTAGTCAACGAGCTATGTGATCTGAATAGGTTCGAAAGGTAGTCAAGGGCCCTTTGGAGGAAATTCGTGCCTTGACAAAGATGGCCTTTTCACTGCTTATCCCGGCGAACATGTGAGTCTTCAATTGGCACAGTCGCAAATTCACTGTATCTGACCATTATAGAATTGGGGCGTTGCACACCGCATTCTGATGCCTGTCTTTGGTCCTATGGGCATTCGGAAGGTACATACGTACTCTTTCCTAGGCAATTCGGCTGTTTTTACTGACCGACATAGATGCTCCCCGAAATGATGGACATAGCATCTCAAATGATCCTAAAATGGGACCGTCTCGGCCGGGATCATGACATATTGACGGCCGATGACTTCACAATAAGTACTCCAAGATTGTGGCTAAACTGTTGTGACCTAACATCTGAGTACAGGCCCGCTCTGGATACCATCGGACTTTGCGCCTTTAGGTACCGTTTCAACGAGTTCTATTCCGAAGATATGCATCCATTTGCCCATCAAATGGTGGATGGTCTGGTCGAATCTGGCAAACGGGCGAACAGGCTTTCCAACGGCAACAAACTGCGAATTTGGTCGGCTGCGAATACAGAAGAAAATATCACTGCTATGCACAAGGTATGTGATGACATTATTGCAGACAGGAAAGCGCATACTCAGCCAAACGCGAACGACCTTTGGAATGCCATGTTGAACGGAAAAGACCCCGAGACTGGCGAGGGAATGACTGATGAGAATATTCGCTACAACATGGTCACGTTTTTGGTAATAATCCTAGATCTCAAATTGGCTATCCTTGGGAAACTGATGCATAGAAGGTTGCTGGACATGAAACCACAAGTGGCACCCTAGCATTCCTATTTTACAACCTCTTGAGCCACCCGGGCAAGCTTCTAGCTGCGCAGAAAGAAATCGATGAAGTGCTTGGAGATAACGCTCTGGAAGCTCAGCATCTTCCAAAGCTCAAATATGTCAAAGCTGCTATTTTTGAAACTCTGCGCTACCTTGGACCTATCGGTCTCCTCGTAAAACACGCAATTGAGCCAACAAAGCTTAGAGGCAAATACCAAGTGGACCCCAGTATGCAAATATTCTGCAATTTGAAAACATTCCATCACGATCGAAGGGTCTGGGGTGATGGTGCTGACAAGTTCAGACCGGAAAGATTCCTCGATGGAGGTTATGAAAGACTTCCTCCTAACTCGTTCAAGGCATTCGGTGATGGGCCAGGCGACAAGATCCGCTGCTATGTGAAGCCGACCCAGGTCGCTTTCCACCTCCCTCCGGACCCAAAGACTTTGGTTATCATGATCGCCGCGGGCACAGGTATCGCCCCAATGCGCGGATTCATCCAAGAGCGAGCCGCTATCGCCGCGGCAAAGCAGCAAGAGCTAGGTCCTGCCATACTGTATTTCGGATGTCGGCATTACGAGAAAGATCTCATATATTCGGACGAGCTGAAGACGTGGGAGGATGCATGGGTCATGTCGGTACGGCCAGCGTTCTCAAAGGCAGGGCCATGGGGGCATCAAGAGTATGTTCCGGAGAGGATATGGAATGAGCGGGAGGAATTGGCGAACTTGTTCCGTGATGGCGCGAAGATTCTCTTGTGCGGAAGTGCGGACAAGCTGGCGAAGAGTACGGGGGATGTTTGTAAAAAGATCTGGTTGGAGAAGAACCCTGGGAAGACTCAGGAGGATGCCGGGGAGTGGCTGGATCAGCAGAGGGAGGAGCGGTATGTGAGCGACGTGTTCGAATGATTTGGGGATATGGTAAAGGCGGATCTACACTGTCATTTCGAAAATATGTAGCTCTAGCTCGAAATCTGGAGCAATCAGAAAATGGTTCGTTGTAACAATGCGTGCATTTGAGATCTTCTGGTCAAACTCCTCCTGGGGGGGTGCGCGCAATCATCCTCTCCCATTACCAGAAGCAGCCGATGCTCTGGTTCAAGTTTCGCTGCGCGATGCCCGTAGAGTACGGCCGCTCAGCTATCTTCTGTAAGAGCTGCAGGAGCATGCCCGCCTGCTTCTGTCATTCCCTGATATGGATCCGGATACCATTTCCCATGCTCTGAAGAGACCGGCAAGGGGTGGCGATGGCTGCATGCTGTGAAGCCGCAGATAGCTTGCGGGTGCCATGCTGATGACCTCAGTCGCGTTATGCCTAAAGGAACAGCACTGTTAGCATACAGGCAGGCGCGCCCATGAATGTCCATCATGATAAAGCGTACATGATGCTTCCTTTGACTTTGATGTCGATTGGAAGTCCGCTGCTGGGTCTCGCGTACTAGGGAGAAGCAAAAACAGGGGTGGGGAGCCAAGCATCAAATCAACGTCGACACTCTCTCTCCCGCAACCTCTCACTCAACACCACTCCGCTCGCCAACATCCAGCATCCTTCTCTATTCTCCCATCATTACGATGAGGGTCAAGGCTTGCCTACGGTGATCCCGTGGCAGTCATCCATCTCGTAGCCATATAATGCCCCTCCCTGACTGATCTTTGAGGCGAACAACACCCAGCTCGCAGCTCTTGCGCGTCTCAGCTGTTCGTTAAACATCAGCAGCAGCGCGCCTCACTGTACCAGGAACAACCTAAGAAGGCATCCTCAGCGCGCCAGCTCCCAGCGGGCCATGGTCGAACGATGCTGAAGTCCTGTGGCGATGAGCCCCAGCATCGACGACTTCCGTCCGCTGCCCAGAGCCACAACACCATCGCAAAGACACCCCAGCTACTGACGTTAGAAAAGCTCTGTGTCCATAGAGATTTACCCCTCTCGAACTTCACAATACTGGTCGCTCCCTACCGATTCAATGCTGCGACTGCGACCGCGCTAGCCATGATTCTCTCCGCCATGCCCGCCGACCGATAGCATCGACAACAACGCGAGGAAGACATCTACAACAAGGGCCTGGGGCTATGCGATATAACGAATGTGCGGCGCTTTTCGACATCGGTCGCACTGTGTCATCCATATCGGCTAGGCTTGTGGGCGACGACCGTCGTAGGCCACCATGGCCACACCAGCACTTGTAGATTGGCTTGGATGACCACATGCGAAAGGGCAACTGCCTTAGACAACCCTGGCGGCCTGTCCGACTGTTTTGCATTCCGCAACGCGTTGATGGGCCATCATTATTTTCTTCGGGGCCTTCATCTGCGCAATGTTTGCTAGTCCGCTCTTCCAGCATGTCTTCCATCAGCTGCTGTGCGCGCAAGCGTTCTCGCCCCAGGTGAGATTGTGAGTATGACATGCGATGCTCTAAGCATGCTTCCATAATGGCGAACCGACCCGTGGCACCGTGCCTTCCGAGACGCGAAACTCAAGTCAAGTACAAGATTCTACATGTGGTGCCCAAGAGTTTCTTACGGAACGACGCAGGGGACCCCAAGAAGCGGTCGCTGAAATAAATCTTCGACACGGTCCTTAGGATTGGACCCACTCTGGACAGCATATGGCTCGGGATAACCACAGCTTGTCATGGATGGCCATTTCATGCATGGCATAGCTTTATTGTGGTATGCCCAACGTATCCCTAGGACAATGAGGGGTCGCTCATGTAGACCCCCTGGACCTCGACCCCCAACCTCTCGTAGCCACTGTAACATCCGTGGTTTGAAATTGCAGCCGACGTCTCATTTAATGACTTTGATCAAGCAATACTCCTTTAGAACTCGCTGCTTTAGTAATGCTTTTAGTCTGAAATCCCCTTAGTACGCTGTGCAATAGGTATACATTTTCTTTAGTTGATTTCCTTTTACCTTCAATTCTATCTTCCTTGAGTCAGCTTTCTTCATGTCATACAGACAATTCCCGTACATCCACTTCCATCCAATCTAGTTAGAAGTTCATGAAGAAAGAAAGAAAGACAGAAAGATTGACGAGTGGAAGAAGAAGCATCGGATAAGGAAGAAATTCCGGAACAGAAACGCAAAGGAGATTCAGGAGAGTAAGAAATATTCAATCCGTCCAATGCTTCATGGAGCAGCCTTGAGCGCCATATGAAGAGTTTGGACCTTGACACCCGGAAACCTCTACCCTCGCAATGGCCAGGAGACCCTAGGAAGCACTACTGCCCCTGCAGACTTTCAACACGGTCCACGCGATATGAAGACTTGATGCGGGGTTGAGCATCCGTAGCGTGTGGCTCGGGTCTGAGGTGGTCCTGGTAGCTCTAGCACCCGGTGCTGGCCTTGTGCAGACAAGGTGAGGATGTTCGTTGTCTTGTGTTGACGGGGTGGGCCACACGAGCGCAGCATGCGTGGCGTTGAAGAGCTGCAAGAGGTGGTTGATGTGTTGGTGTTGTGGAGGAGAGGTGGTTAAGCCCAAGGTGACCGCCCGCCGTCTTATACAAAATCCATTGGGAATCCAGGACACTTCCGGGATAACATATGCATATACCGTCATTTTCTGGCAGGCTCCCAATTCAAAATGCAAGGGCCTTGGTGTAGTCGGTTAGCATATCCATGGGCAGTTGGTTAGCCAGTTGGATAACATGGAAGAACCTGGGTTCAACTCCCTGGGGGTCCAATTCTCTTTTGTTTTTGTTTTTGGACCCTCATGGCCATCCTGACGGTGTAACCCTGTTCACGCTGCAGGGTCACATTTTATCTGATCTGGCTTCATCTGGAGGAGCTGCTCTGTTTTGCCTCCTGCTTCACGAGCTCTAGGACACTGGTTTTCCTACTGCTTTGAGGGGTTGAAGGCAGCAAAGTCGCTACTGGACCGAGGTCCGTGCGTTTTGTGTCCCTTTTCTCCAAGCCTCTGCTGCTACTTTTCTCTTCTTCGCGCCATCACAACATCACTGCGACGTACAGAACCTCGTCCAGCCACCCCCCACCGCGCAACACCACACCAACCCACACGCCCAGCTCGCCCAATTCAAGATGACGGGCCGTCCAATCAAGCAAGAGCCCGTGGACGAGGCCGCCGGCGCGCCACCACCACCACCGCCGCCGCCACCACCGCCTCCTCCTCAGCAGCAGCAGCAGCAGCAGCAGCTCCCACCGCCGCCACCAGGACGCGAGCCTATCCAGGCCGAGCTCGCAGGGCTCAGGGACCGCTTGGACGCGGTGGCCTATCTCGCAGCCGCGCGGGAGTACGAGAGGCAAGGCATGGCCATTGCCCTCCGAAACCGCGAGGCCGAGATTAGGCGCCTCGTCCAAGATCGCCTGGCCCTGCGGGCTGAGGTTCGCCGCCTCCGCGCCCAGCTGCAGAACCGCCGCCGCCGCTCGCGCTCGCCAGTCCGCCGCGACTCAGAGCATCAGTCCCCTCCCCCTGCCCGCCGCCGCCGCGACTGGGACGAACCCTCGGCCCCCACCCGCGAAGGCAGCAGTGACTGGAGCTACGACGAGTGATTCGAAGGGTGCTGCCGACGACATCAGGAAAGAGGGCCGAGATCAGGAGCCTGGGGGAGGAGTTTTGAAAGCTGTTTCGGACATTGGAGGGGATTCAACGGATTGACGGTGTGCGGAAAACTACTGCGGAATTGGGGACGATTTGAACAACGCTGACGACGACAACGACTACCGACGACTGATTTGGGGGGGTTTTTCCGGAGTTTTGGGTGCTGGGACGGTGCATTGGGGCGGCTTCGAGAGGTTTTGGTGGGCGGAAAATTCGGTACTGGGAGGGGTGAGATTTGGGTGGTGTTTTCGGAGTTCTGGGGGCTTGATAATGGAAATCTGAGAGTAGGACCGTCGCTGCTGCGTGCAGTGATAGTCTTGCGTGGTACCTCCTGCGTATGCGGCTTTGAAAATGCGTGATGTAATGGTTGTGAGGCTGTGAGTCTAGAGGGAGGAAAAGGGATAGGTGTTGTGGGGTCGGATTGCTTCAAGGTGGGAATTGGAGGGCTATTGCTGTTGCCGTTGCGGGGTGTGATAGTACTGGAGGCGCTCCAGGCCTATTCGAACTTGAGGTTTACGAGATGTCAAGAGCTGGAGGGTGTAACCTTGGAGTGAGGAAAAGGGGGGGCTGTTTTGGGGTCGGATTGCTTCAAGGTAAGAATTGGAGGGCTATTACCATTGCTGCTGCGGGGTGTGATAGTGCCGGATGGCTCCCCTGGCCTATCTGGCCTCGAGAAGTAGACGATGTCAAGAGCTGGAGGCTGTAGATTAGGTGTGCGAAAAGGGGAAGGCATTTTCGGGCCCGGAGACATAGGCCCGTGAATCAGAAGGGTGTTACTATTGCTGCTGCGGCCTGTAATAGTGCTGGATGGTGCCCCTGGCCTATTCGGCCTCAAGGTTTCCAAGATGTCAAGAGCTGGAAGGTGTGAATTAGGGGTGTGGAAAAGGGGTACGCGTTTTCCAGGCCCAGAGGCTTGGCTTCTTGAATTGCCGGGCATGCAGAAAGGCCTCTTACTGGCCATAGGAGATCGTCTCTTGACAGGCGACTTGAACATGGAGACACAGGCAAAGAAAGGGAAAACCGCACATCCGTGGTACTTACAGGCGGAAGCGGCTGAAGAGGCGAAAACGAAAACGGGCCTTAAGTGGCTGTGTGCGACTCTGAGGGCAACAGATAGGAAGCCACTTATAGTTAACCGAAGTGCAGAAGGTCGTCTCGGACTGACTCTCCAGCCCGACGAGTGGTTTCAATTCCACGGCAAAGTGATGCCGCTTCCTGGACAGCCTCGGGAAGGTCGGAAGGATTCTGCTCTCGATGCTGCAGGGTGTAATAGGGCTGGATGACGCTCCTGGCCTATCTGGCTTCGAGGATCACAAGATGTTAAGGGCTGGAAGGTGTAAATTACGGGAGTGGCAAAGGAGACGTGTTTTCAGGCTTAGAAACTTGGCTTTATGAATCGACAAGGTGTCGCTATTGCTGCTGCGGGCGGGAATAATGCTGGATGGCGCCCCTGGCCTATCTAGCGTAAAGGTTTATACGATGTCAAGAGCTGGAGGCTGTAGATTGAGGCCATGCGGGAGAGGTTCCGACCCGGAGGTTGAAATGTCACGATGCTTAATTTTGGAATAAATGGGAAGTACTCTTTGCCAGTATTAGAAGCACTGGATAGTCCCCCTGGCCTATACAACTTTGAAATCACGAGATGTCAAGAGCGGGAGGTCGTGATCTGAAGGTGTGGGAAAGACGTCGCGCTCGGGAGTGTGGAAATCTCAAAGCGTGAACTGGATCTAAAGGGCAGTACATTTTGGCGGTATTGGAAGCACATGATGGCCCTCCTGGCCTATACGACTGTGAAAACACGAGATGTCAAGAGCGGGAGCTCTCAAGCTGGAGACAAGAAAAGGGGATCGAGATTTGGATTCCAAAGTTTTGAAGTCTCGAAACCAAGTGGAACATCAGTACGTTTTGATGGCTGTGGAAGCACTAGATGATCCCCTTGACCTATTAATCTTTCAGATCACGAGATGTTAGGAGCGAGAGCTCGTAACCATGAGCAGGCCGAAAACCCTCCCCACAACGGCACCATTCCTCCTCAAACATGCTGTCGAAGCCCTTGACATCGCACGAGGCTTAGATTTGGGTTCAAGATTTTGAACTCTCGAACTCATTTGGAACGGCCATCCATTTTGACAGTAGTGGAAGCACTGGATGGCGCCCTTGATGTATGTATTTTTCAAATTAGAAGATCTTAAGGGCGGGATCTTGTAAGCCGGAGGTAGGGAAAGAGACTCGAGATCTGTATCTCATAATCTTGATGTTTTGAAATTGATTGAAACATTCGCACGTTTTGATAGTGGCGGGAGCAATAGATAGCCCCCCTGAGCCTATTCGTCTTTCAGATCACAAAGCTTCAAGAGCGGGGATTCGTAAAATATATTCGGGGAGACTGAATTCTCATATCGCGGTGATAGGCAGCGAAGGCGGGTTCACTGTAAACGATCTTCCCGTCTCAGGCATCAAGAACGAATGCAACACAAGCGTAAGTGGAACAAAGTCTACGCAACTTGCGGTAGCTAACTAGCATGATTAGTACGCCAGCGCAGTCCTTCAGGTTTTACGAAGACCCCTCCAGAACTTAATGATCGACAGGACAATGGAAGTTCGCTAGAGTTATGGATGACAACGAACTGGACCTACCATCTTCTATTTCACTACTCTTTCGCGAGCACCAAAAGGAGCTGTTAGAATGTCCAGGGCTCCTTTCACAGCTTCTTATCGACACGTATGGAAACTCCCTGCCTGGAAACTCCCAACCTGGAAACTTTCAGCCCGGTAATATCGTTCCGCTCCTGGAGGCATATAGGCAGCTAGGAAAATGGCCGCCCAAGAAACAACAAGATAGTCATCAATTCCTCGTGTTTATTGTAGAGGCGTTATTCCACACCCTTCGCCGCGAGGGAAATACAATCTCTCTGCCATTGACACCAACGTTAGAATTGGAACTATGGTATGAGGCGCTACAGACTTCAAGATTCGCAGTTGTAATGGAGATATTTGCAACTACCTTCACATGGATTACTGCCTGTGGCAGTTGCAGCTCCCAATCAGGACCAGTTAACGATCAATGCCTATCCTGGAGCCTAGGACTAGAGGAACTAAGAAAGCCCAGAGAAGAGGAAGTAAGGGAACCTAGAGAAGAGAAACGAAGTCCAACCAAAGCTGTAAATCTTCAAGAGCTATTGAATCAGGCAGGACAGAAGGAAGCCCTCAAGAAGAACATCTATCGGAAAGGAGAAGCAGATGAGTGTAGAAGGAGAAGCAGATGAGTGTAGTCTACCGCTTTACTAGTGCGACAGCTGTGGAGGGCTGCAGCCGGCAACCCGGCAACAGACAATAACACGTGCACCACCGTTCTTGATTATACACCTAAAGCGATTCAGCAATTTGCTACAGAAGAGAAGAGAATCGGTCCAGTTTCCTATCGAGGGCCATCTCATACAAACGCAAGGCTAGACCCCGTTCTATCAATTATGCGGCGTTCTGGAACACCGCGGCACAGCACTTACATCTGTTCACTTTGTCGCATACGTTCTTGTTGAAGACCCCGGCCCTGCTTTTTGCTTGCTCGATACCACTGTCAGAAGTAGCTCAGCAAGCAGGCGGTCGTCCATACAAGAGGCATCCTGATATACGCTGCACGGGCACGCTACTGCTCCGGCTCTGCTTTTACTTGCTCGATATCGCTGTCGGGGGTGGCTTAGGTGGCAGGCGATAGTCTAGTCAACAAGCATCCTGATATCTACCACATGGCCACACCACTGCTTAGTATCACGTTAAATCCCATCCAATGTGACGTCCACGAGTGCTTGAAGTACACGACTGGGTTTCATAGACCCCAACGCTCACACCTCCAACCCCGCAACCTCCTCATACTCCTCCCTCACCACTACACCCCCCGCATCTACCACCTTCTTAGCCCCCATCTTACAAATCGCTACCCTTTCCACCCTTACCCCCTCGGCCCACACGAAGCCCCTATACCTCTCGACCATCTCCTGCGCATCTAACCTCAACAACGCCTTTGCGTTCGCCCCGTGTCCCGCGCCCCTCCCCCCCTTGCTTGCTTTCGCGTAAATGGTGTTGATGATCGTGGCATGCAGCTTCAGTGGCCGGTCATCCGGCAC